TAGTATTATACTGAATGAGACTTAAGCCTAATCACTAACCCGATCGCTCTACACGAATTGAAAACTCACAAACCACTAGTATTATACTGAATGAGACTTAAGCCTAATCACTAACCCGATCGCTCTACACGAATTGAAAACTCACAAACCACTAGTATTATACTGAATGAAACTTAAGCCTAATCACTAACCCGATCGCTCTACACGAATTGAAAACTCACAAACCACTAGTATTATACTGAATGAGACTTAAGCCTAATCACTAACCCGATCGCTCTACACGAATTGAAAACTCACAAACCACTAGTATTATACTGAATGAAACTTAAGCCTAATCACTAACCCGATCGCTCTACACGAATTGAAAACTCACAAACCACTAGTATTATACTGAATGAGACTTAAGCCTAATCACTAACCCGCTCGCTCTACACGAATTGAAAACTCACAAACCACTAGTATTATACTGAATGAGACTTAAGCCTAATCACTAACCCGCTCGCTCTACACGTATAGAGAGTTAAAATCAGTAAGTATTAATTACTCTCTCAAATGCTGCTTTGAAACAAACGAGTTTAATTTATTAAACTTCTATCGACAATTCTCAAATAAATATTTTGTTTGTTTGTATGTAATTAAGCACAAAGCTACACTATAGGCTATCTGTGATCTGCCCACTACGGGTATCGAAACCCGGATTCTAGCATTGTAAGTCCACAGACATACCGCTATGCCACTGGGGGGCAATTTTTTTTTTTTACGAAACGTTTCGATTAAAGACTCCAAAAAGTTCATTACGCAAAAACTCCATTAAAAACTTGAAGAAATTCATTACTGAAGGTTTTGATTAAGGACTTCAAGAAGCTCATTACACAACGTTTCGATTAAAGCCTTCAAAAAATTCATTATTGAAGGTTTCGATTAAAGACTTCAAGAAGCTCATTATACAACGTTTCGATTAAGGACTTCAAGAAGCTCATTACACAACGTTTCGATTAAAGACTTCAAGAAGCTCATTACGCAACGTTTCGATTAAAGACTTCAAGAAGCTCATTATACAACGTTTCGATTAAGGACTTCAGGAAGCTCATTATACAACGTTTCGATTAAGGACTTCAAGAAGCTCATTACACAACGTTTCGATTAAAGCCTTCAAAAAATTCATTATTGAAGGTTTCGATTAAAGACTTCAAGAAGCTCATTATACAACGTTTCGATTAAGGACTTCAAGAAGCTCATTACACAACGTTTCGATTAAAGACATCAAGAAGCTCATTATACAACGTTTCGATTAAGGACTTCAAAAAGCTCATTACACAACGTTTCGACTAAGGACTTCAAGAAGCCCATTACGCAACGTTTCGATTAAAGACTTCCAAGAATCTTGTGCAGTTGCTCGATCTACCCTTAAGATGTGCTACTTATTTTACTTACTAATCATTGATTTATGCAAGATAAACACCGACTTAAGTATAACTGTTATATTTAAGTCGTGAAATCCTTTGTAGTGTAACCTGTAAGGTTTCAAACACTTGCTTCACGTAACGCCTAGGATTTAAAGGCTACAGGGAATCGTTAACTTTAGGCTAAACCGATGCATTTTTCTGGTGCAAAAACGTTACGTTCGATAAAACAAAATTCCGGAAAAAAATTACTATTAAATGCACGATAAAAATTATGATAACGACAGGAAATGCCACTAGAGGGCAAGAATGTACAACTGATAAATCAAAACATTCTTATCAGTATATAAGTCTTTGTTTTATGCTTCTACTTAGACTGGTGATTAAGTTAGCTATTAGCTACTGGGTTAATTTTTTAGTCCTGATCTATGTAGTTAACATACTATGATCATTAGCTTGTGATATGTATTACTAACCTCTTCTAGGGCTTTAATAACAAATTGATTTTCATTTTCATTATCACAGAAGGCGCCACCTGTGTCGTCGAGGGTTTCCTTCAATTGGCAGGTGGCGTTGAACCCTCGACTCAGTCCCGTCAACAAGAAATGAGAATCCTTTTCGTTCGAAAGGTTCACCATCTAAAAGTAGTTGTAAAAAAATAAACTGAAAAACGAACAGCATTTACTTTGTTTTAAAATCCTGTTTAAAATCTATAACGAGAGCCTTCATTTTATTTTTTTTAGTTCGAAAGATAGCTTCAGGAGAAACATTTAGGTACGTTTGTGTGCGAGAAGCTTGGTTTAAAAATAACACGTTAGTGCTAGCAAGAAACCCATAGTTGTAGTTTAAAATTAAATTGAAATTCTAGAGATAATGGTTGAGTAATGGTAGGGTAACTCCAGAGGGAACTGCACATAAAGAAAGTATAACCAAATCAAATACAGTAGAACATCATTAGTTATGAGCAGCACGCGCTTTTGCCATGCCTCTTACAGCGCGTGTGAATATACATTAGAAGAGCCGCTCGTGCACGTAAGCTTTATAACTTTCGATTCGAGAATCGAATCTACTCGATAAAGTCAAATATAGATGTTATGTTGCACATAAATGAGAGTGAATTCATAGCTATATGATTCGGTGGTTTCACAGGACTTCAAGTAAGAACGATCGTGGAAACCTCGTGAAAGATGCAGGGAGCCTGATCCTCAAATAAATACTAACACTTGTGTAAGTCAACACGCAAGACCTGATTTGTTTGTTTGTTTATTTTATCGTAAAGTTGCGTCACAAGTTCTGGTATATTTTGTATATAAAATCTTACAATAATAATAATAAGGGTAGTGTCTAAACTGAGTAGAATATACCAACATCTTTCTTTTCACACTGGCTATCTTACCAACATCTTTCTTTTCACACTGGATATCTTACCAACATCTTTCTTTTCACACTGGATATCTTACCAACATCTTTCTTTTACCACCAGTGTGAAAAGAAAGATATTGGTAAGATATCCAGTGTTAAAAGAAAGATGCTGGTAAGATATCCAGTGTTAAAAGAAAGATGCTGGTAAGATATCCAACTATCTTACCAACATCTTTCTTTTACCATTGGATATCTTACCAATATCTTTCTTTTCACACTGGCTATCTTACCAGCATCTTTCTTTTACCACTGGATATCTTACCAACATCTTTCTTTTCACACTGGCTATCTTACCAATATCTTTCTTTTACCACTGGCTATCTTACCAACATCTTTCTTTTACCATTGGATATCTTACCAACACCTTTCTTTTCACACTGGATATCTTACCAATATCTTTCTTTTCTACACTGGCTATCTTACCAACATCTTTCTTTTACCATTGGATATCTTACCAGCATCTTTCTTTTACCACTGGATATCTTACCAACATCTTTCTTTTACCATTGGATATCTTACCAATATCTTTCTTTTCACACTGGCTATCTTACCAACATCTTTCTTTTACCATTGGATATCTTACCAGCATCTTTCTTTTACCACTGGATATCTTACCAATATCTTTCTTTTCACACTGGCTATCTTACCAACATCTTTCTTTTACCATT